ATCATCATAGACTCTTGTTCGTATGTTGTTTCATGAAATTCTTCTGTGTCTGCCAATTCCTTTCAATACAGTGACTTAGTATATTCCTTCCATCTTCTTTTAATACTTCCGGGATCATTTAACGTTCTGCCGAAAGCATCCTTGATTATAGCAACTCGAGGTTTGAATTTGTTCTTCAGTTACTTGAGCTTAAGATATGCTGAGTGAGTTCGGCCCTTTTGATTTTCTGACTCCAACTCCTTGCACATTTCACTGTAATATTTTGCTTTGTCATCCCATGCTGCCTTTTGAAAAAAATGTTCATAGAAAGAGAAAAAAATTGTTAATTATTGTTAAAATCAAGGCAAAAATATCTTAGAACAATTAGCGTTGGCAAGGGAAATCAAACCATTATTCATTAATTTACAATCTGTTGTTCTCTGCTGTTCAGTCTTATCTGTTTCACACATACCACCTACCATAGAACTTTATTATACAGAGGAGAGAAAAGGAAATAAAAGTCACAAAACACAGCTTTAATTAATTCTCTAGTGACCTAATATATGTGAAAGGAAAGTAGAGAACAAATCTAACCATTTGGGTTAGATTGTTATCTCAACTGAGATAACACAGGTGATAACTGAGAAAGCAAATGAAATTGCACAATAAACGCTATTAACAAGAGAACTGAAGAGGGTCTTCTGAAATCATCTCTCAAGAGTCGATGCTCTTAGCACTCTGCATGGCATTCTTCTCCAAGTCTCTGTAAAAACAGACAGGAAACCAGCCTCAGGGGCATTGGGCCAGTTCTAACTCCTAGTGACGAGGCGGAAATGCTGTAAATCTTTATAGGAAGAGACTGTCCATTTTTCTTTTGGCCCCAAGAATAAAATTCTGGAGTAAGACAAATGCTATAAATAACCAGATCTCTAAACTCACTAACAAACTCCACAGGTTTGGCAAGACCTGAATTTAACACGAACTCAATCATACCCTAGAAACACTTTGTCAATTTTATTTTACCTTAATATACATTTGTACAGGCAATAATAAAAAAAGCTATTACAGAACAATTCAGTGAATTTAGGCAGTTTCAAGAATAATGCATGCAGTTACAAATGAGAGGTAGAAACACTATATTAAAGACCTAAAAACACAAACTTATAAATAAATGTTGAAATTGACAGCAGAAATTGACATACAGATAAATAAGGTAAAAATTACATTACTTCCTCAAAGGAAAAAAAAGTGTATTTTTGTCTTTTTGTTTTCTTAATCAGTCTACTAGAATGATATTAAGGTTGAAGTGTTATGTAGTTTGTCAGATAATTCAGATGACAGTATCTAAAAGGATTAAAATAAAGGGATTAAAATTGGAGAATGGTTTATTCAAGTATTCAAGCAGGTAAGTAAAAGAAACAATACATAATGCAGAAACCTTTTTCTGGAGGGATGTTAATTAACTGCATTTTCCATTTCTAGTTACTTAAGGAACTGCCAGTAATACCATGAAAACACACCTCAGGTTGGAGAAAGCTGCCCATTTCCTAAAAGAATACCAGCTTTATTCTTCATTACCTTTATGTGGTACTCTATTATTGCTACAAGCATTTAGGTCACCACTTTGATTTGGTCCACTTACAAATTTTTGAAAGTCTCTTGATGTATGATACTTGTTCCAATACATGTTTCCTGCCCAAATAAATCCAGCCGTCAGTAAATTTAGAGGTCACAGGCATTAGCACACACTCTGCATGCACGTTGCAAAATGCATTTAAAAGCGAACAACCAGCAACTCAAAACATTACCGAGAAATCTGTAGTTGTAAGTTTCACATGAAAACAAGTTGCATTTTGAACCTTTACAAGTCCCTACAGATTAAAATGGAATGATGGAAAGGGTCTAGGGTCTATAATGAAGTAAACTATTTTAAATAAGTTAATTTTGCCTCCTTTACTTTTAAATTGCAAAAGCCAAGAGCCAATACACGTGGTTTTAATAAATTAGTAAAATATGAAATAATTTTGGAAGAGTACCATGAGTTCACAGAAGAGCAAAGTAAGGATTTAAATTTTTTTTCCTAGAGCCATCTTCTGTTTTTTTCTTAAGCTACTGTTTCCTAAACTGTTTTAGGATGAATGTTAAGATTGAGACAAACTTAGCCTAAATATCAAACTAACTGGATGAGGTGTATACCTTTTCACTTTGATACTTGAGAAATTTTCTAGTAGTCTGAGTTAGGCAAGCTGATCAACTTGTCATCATTCATGGAATTCATACATATCTCTGATGAAGAATGTACAGAGTCACTCACTTTGTTTCCTTCTTAATTATCCTTAAGAATAACTCTATTGCTATTCCATCTCTAAAGTACATTCATTTATCATGTTCAGAATGAGAGTCAAGTGGAATATTCTTGCTTCTGCTTCCACACAGAAAAAGGGAAAGGCTGTCTTCTCCGATAAGGCATATTTCCTACAACTAGGTAGTTTTCTGGATTGTTCTTCCTTTTTGAAATCACTGCATATTCTTTGGTAATCACCAGTTATGAAGCTACAGTTTCTGGAGGATAGGACAATAGAATGCATGCTGAACTCCCAAATGTATCACCTCACATTCCCTAGTCTGGCCCATGGGACATGCCTGCTGCTCACAAAGTCACAGTGCTACAGCTGAGTGCTGATAATCTTCTTTCAATACAACATTTATCTAGAAAGAAAAGAACAAAAAAATCAAATTCACAATAAAAATCCTTTAAAATTTCCAAAGACCTTCCCTGGCTATTAAAAATGTAATATACTAAAAAAAATAATTAAAAAGTAATATACCACATACATTACAAGGGAACAACTTTGATTTCCTCATATAAATGTGTTTATATTTGATGAGTAATACTATTAGCCTAGTATCCTATCAATATCTACTCTACTACGTATACAAAATCTCAAGTACAACAGGCATTTCTTTAGTCTCAAAGCCTACGAAGGTTACAAGAGCTACATTTAATAAAAAGAACAAAGCTTTCCTAGATATAACAACACATGCCTACAAACAATATTGCAGTGAAGGAATCTCAAGACTAATGATAGAAAAAGGAACTCTGGTGGCTTAGTGGTCAGAAGCTGTACTGCAATCTCAAAGGCACATGGTTTGAAGCTACCAGTTACTCCACAGAAGAAGGATGGGCATTCTCCTCCCATACAATTTACTGCTGCTGAAAGCCTGCTGGAAAGTCAGCTATGAGTCTGTTCCAAATTGAGAACATGCAACAGCAGTGATATAAAAGCTATCTGTCCTTTATACAAATTACCTCACAATTTTACATAATTTTAATAAATCTACAAGGTATGTGTTTTTTATTTTACATACTTCATAACTTCACAAGGTATGTTTTTTATTTTACATATTTATTTTAGTAACTTACTTTAGTAACTTATTTTAGAATTATGTGCTAATTTTATCTTTTAAAAAATATTTTATTTTGTTGTTACAAATATACACAGCAATCTACAACCAGGAGAAGATAAAGCAGATGACTGGGACCTTCTGAGAATCAAATCGCTATGCACATCCAGAAACTTCTCCAACAGGGTAAAAAGGGAAGCCACAGACTGGGAAAAAGTATTTGGCAATGACATGTCAGATAAAGGACTTATATCTAGAATTTATTAAACACTTGAGCATCACAACAAGATAAAGGTAAATAATCCAATAGAAAAAATGGGCACAGGATATGAACAGAAACTGCACCAAAGAAGACATTCAGATGGCCAACAAGCACATGAAGAAATGTTCAAAATCCCTAGCTCTAAGAGAGATGCAAATCAAAACAACTATGAGATATCATCTCACCCCAGTAAGAATAGCAAAATTTAATAGAACAGCAAACAACAAATGCTGGTGAGGTTGTGGAGAAACTGGAACCCGTATTCACTGTTGGTGGGAGTGTAAAATGGTGCAACCACTGTGGAAGGTGGTGTGGTGCTTTCTCAAAAAAGTTGCAAACAGAGATACCACCTGACCCCAGCAATTCCACTACTGGGAATATACCCCAAAAAGACCACAACTGCCACCCAAGCAGATATATGTACACCCATGTTTATTGAGGCTTTGTTCATAATAACAAAGAGTTGGAAACAGCCTAAGTGCTCATCAACAAACAAATGGATAGCGATGCTGTGGTATATTTACACAATGAAATACTACACTGCGTTGAAAAACAAGGAACTCATGCAATATTATTCAAAATGGGTGACCCTGGGGGACATTATGCTAAGTGAAATATCTCAGTCACAAAAGGACAAATACTGCATGGTGCCACTCTTGTAAAACAGGACTGACATCAGGGTTGGGGGGAGACTGAGAAAGATGGATTTAATAATGTATACTGCATTGAAACAGATGAGGTAGAAAACTGTTTAAAAGGGATATATGATTGGGTATTATTGTCATGACAGGAGTCCAGAATGAAGGCTCCATAGTTGAGTGGACTTGGGGGGAGGGAGCAGTGGGCATGGAGAAAAGCGTAACAATGAATGAATGGAAAGCCTCAGTCTCTGTAAACTTTCATTAAAATTAATAATAATTAAAAAATTAAAAAATAAACAGAAACAAATATACACAACAGAACATATACTAATTCAACAACTTCTAAATGTACAATTCAGTGACACTGATTACATTTTTTTTCCAGTTAAGCTTTATTAACAACTGTTTATGTTATGTACTTTATAATTACATATTGTATGCTCTGGATAGATTTTTATAACTATAAGCTTTACAAGTTGAATCTATCCATTTTGACCTCTACTTATATCTCCACTGAAACTAACATTGTATTGGTTTTAACTATACTGATTTTTCAATTGAAAAAAGCACTTCATGCACATGCAAGCTCATTTGTTAAAGCTTTTCTTGTATAAAACTTTAAGTCTCGATTTAATACTATTTTCTTTCAGAAACAAAAGTTTCTAAGTCAATCTTGAAAAATGAGTCTAACCACAAATATAGCAGATGCCTCATAAAATTATCTTCTACTACTTTGTGCTGACCTCTGTCAAGGCAATAACTCTCAAATCTGCATCAGCATGAACAGCTGTGGATGCCGCTGTTAGACAGCCATAACCTATACTTCCAAGGCAAGGACTGTGCCCAAATGGGAGAGGATGGTGATTTTCGCAGTCAATGTTATTAACGCCAACATAAACCAGAAAATACTGCCTCAAACCTCAAAATTAGATGCCACAGTTCATAAAAAGAAGCAAACGTCCCTTATAATAAATCACACTGAATTCTTCATAGACATTTATGGAAATGATGATGACAATTGTAAAAAGATTTTTATATTCCTCAAAACTTCATTTACAATAAATGTGTAAATATATATATTGCACATTTCTTTTCAGAGAAGTCCATTAGAAAAAAACCAGTTTTGATTGAAACCTTAAAAGCAGTACTCTACAGTGGGGAGGGTGGTTGGAATCAACATTGCAGCTATTTGCATTGTTGCGTTGCTAGACTGATGGAGTAATTTATAAGCAGTAAGAAAAAAGCACAACAAAAAAATTGATTCACCGAGCCAAATGGCTTTCATAAAATATACTTTCCCACTAAATCACTTTATTAACCACCCCTTCTATCCTTTACGGTCTTTTTCTAAGAATTTAACAGTTCTTTGTCCACAAAGCCACCTAAGTGGACATATACATTCACACAAAACAGTTGTGGTTATCAAACAGTTTCTGACTATGGAGTTATAGGACTCCATAAGTACAGAGTAGAGTTACTTCATATGGTCTTCAAGGCTGTGACTGAGGCACCCTAATATTGCCGGCTTCAATGAGTACAGTCAAATTAAGCCTTGGTAGTAGCATCCACTTCCTAAACAATATGCCTCTGGAAACTCTATGAACTTTGATAAATGTCGATAGTTGCAGAGGGGATTCAGGCTTTTGTCTATAGGGTTGTTATGAGTCATGCTCTACTCAAAGGCAAACAACAACAGCCTTCCACCTAAAATTTTTGAATTTTGTTTTCCTCCTAACTGTGCCTGCTTCTATAAAACTGCATTCATGTGCTTATAAACAGGTGTGGCAGGTTATGTTGTTGGTGTAATGTGCTGTAGAGTCATATGTGACTCATAGTGACCCTATGTACAACAACACTAAACCCTGCTCTATCCTGTGTCAGTGTTATTGTCTCCGACACACCTACCCCCTTTACCCAGCCACAGAATAAATCCATCTCATCGAGGGTCTTCCTCTCTTGCGCTGTCCCTTCACCCTCCCAAACATGACTCCCTCTCCAAGGACTGGTCCCGCCTTGCAACATGTCCAAAGTATTTCAGACAAAGCTTCAGAATCCTTGCCTCCAAGGAGATGCCTGCTTTCATTCTCTCTAGGATGAACTTGTTTGTTTTTCTAGCAGTCCATGGTATGTTCAATATGCTTCTCCAGCACCACAGCACAAAGGCATCAATTATCTTTCTATCATTGCTAGTCTGATTACATTCTTGAAGATGTATATAACCATTCTCCTTTTCTGAGCTATTCCTCCCGTTAATACATATTGACTGCTCACTAAATATTCCATCTACTTTTCCAAGTATTTGCTGTCATTTGAACCCATGCACAGTTTTCTAAGAGTACTAAGTTCAAGGCAGACATTCATTACATTCTTTAATAATTAAACCACTGCTTGGCTTAAATAATAAAACGTCAGGAAATAATTTTGGTCTAAGGCTTAAAGATCATTTCCAGGCAATACTTTTGTGACTCCATCTAACCTAATGGCTCTTGAAAGCTTGGATTCCATGAGGATTTGAAATCTTTTCTGTGTTTTCTCCTTTTCAATGAACAAGATAAACTTTATTTTTCCCATTTTATAGAAGAAGCTGACACTGCAGACAAATTAAACCATGCTCAAGTTGGAAAGTCGAGATTGAAGCCTAAGGAGTATGATTCCAAACTTGAAGCTCCTTTTACTATTCCTGTAAGAAATCATTGTTACAATAATTAAGCCAACTTATATATAAGTCAACTTACATTTAATTACATTTTCAATATCCGCAGGGTCCTGTAAAATCTTAGTTAGGCCTTCCAAAAGAAGGGCTGCCTTATGATATCGATAAGCAGTATCTTCAGTCAGCTGAAACATATCATCCAGAGCTGCAGACTGAACCTGGAGCCAGTAAACAAAAAGGACAAGATTCTCAACTTTCTAAGAAAAAAGAAATTAATCTGAACAACATAGGTTTGAATAGAAAAAACCTAAAATTAACACAAATTATATGACTGTGTGGATCACAACAAGCTATGGCTGACTCCGAGAAGAAAGGGAATCCCAGAACATTTGATTGTGCTTATGCGAAACCTACACTTGGCCAGGAGGCAGTCATCAGAACAGATCAAGGATCAGGAAGGGGGTCTGCCAGGGATGTTGCTGTCTCCACACCTTTGCAATCTGTATGCAGAACAGATCATCCAGGATGCTGGGCTGTACGAGGAAGAATGTGGCATCAGGATTGAAGGAAGATTCATCAACACCCTGCGTTATGCAGGTGACACAATCCTGCTTGCTGAAACTGAGGAGGACCTGAAGCACTTGTTGCAGAGGGTCAAGGACTGCAGCCATCAATATGGATTGAAGCTCAAGATCAAGAAAACAAAGATTCTCACCACTGGACCAACTGGCAACATCAATGAATGTTGAAGAGATTGAGATAGTTAACAGTTTTAGTTTGCTTGGCTCCATAGTCAACACTCTTGGTACCAGCAGCCAGGAACTCAAGAGATGAATTGCATTGGGAAAGTCAGCTGTCCGGGACCTCTCCAGAGTACTGAAGAACAGTGACATCAGATTGGAGACTAAAGTGTGCCTCATCTGGGCTATAATCTTCGCAATTGTGCTCTATGCATTGGACAGTTAGACAGTGACTAGGGATGATAGAAGGAGAATTGATGCCTTTGAGCTGTGGTGCTGGAGAATAGTGTTGAATATAACATAGACTGCTAGGAGAACAAACAGGTTTGTCCTGGAGAGGTTGAAGCCGGGCTGCTCCTTGGAGTCAAGGATTCTGAAGTTTCGTCTGACATACTCTGGGCATGTTGCAAGGAGGACCGGTCCTTGGAGATGGACATCATGTTTGGCAGAGTGGAGGGACAGCAGAAGAAAGACCCTCAATGAGATGGACTGATTTTGTGATTGGTGTGGTGGGAGTAAGTGTGTCAGAGACAGTGAGGTTGACACAGGATAGAGTAGGGATTAGGGCTCTTATACACAGGGTTGCTATGAGTCGCAGCAACTTGATGGCACATAATAAAAACAACATAGGGAGTGCTGGTGGTGCAACATTTATTGTCTTGAGAGCTAATTAAAATGGTAGCAGTCAGAATCTACCCAAGTATAACAGCCATAGTTCTATCATATGGGATCATGCTAAGTAAAAATCAACTCATTATTACTCAAAACTAGCCAAACTACATAAAAGATTTGTGAATATGTGTTATAATAATGTGTTTTTTTAATTCTATTTGAGTGAAAGTTAAAGCTAATTAGTTTTCCACTCAACCATTCATATATATATATATATATTGTTCTATGACTGTACATACATTATACACATTTTTCATTGTGTTTTTCCTTATCAACTCATCTTTTTATTCCACCCCATCCTGCTGAACAAATGTTGCTTTAAAAAAGAAAGTATTCCATATTGGATATGACCCAGTTATTCCACTATTAGGAATATACCTCAAGGAAATTAGAACTGAGACACAGATGGAGATCTGTACACCAATGTTCATAGCAGTGTTTCACCATCACGAGAAATGCTGCCTTTTTGATCTTATGTAGTTGACTATTCTAATGAGTGAGTGTATTACATGATTGATTCTTATCTTGTTACATAGCATCAAGTCAGAACTGACACACAAATGACCTTCCAGTGGGTTTTCAAAGGTTGGAGGTCGCATGGTAGAATATCCATCTTTCTCCTGTATGCTTTGGGTTGGCAGTGTAGCTCCTTACCACTGAACCGCCAGAGCACCCTCTCTTCAGGTAAGAAGCCTATCTATCGTTTGGCTGAAAGCTGTGTCACTGGGGTGAGTTTTGTTCCAAGTTCCTGGAGTGACAAAGAGCTAGAATCACGGAGAACTTGGACTTTTTAATGTTTTTTAGTTTTGTTCTACATTTTTGCTTATTCTACCTTCTAATGTAATCCATTTTAGAGTGGTCAGAAGTCATAGCTGGACATTATCTAGTTCTCCTAGTATCAGGGTTGTGGAGGGTAATAATCCTTTACCTCTTTGGACTGTTTCTCTGCATATTTGCTTTTCTTTTCTTTGTAGTAGAAATGGAGAGTTCAATAGTTACACCTTTCTTGCAAGTGAGCACTGTGGCTTAGTGACTAAGGAATTGTACTGACAACTGAAGACAGGCAGTGCAAGAGAAGGGTGGGCAATATCCTCTCATGTGACCTACAGCCTCTGAAAACTCTCTGGCGGATCAGCTATGATTGGAGTGAGTGGGGCAACTCACCAAAGAAGGAAGCAGAACAAGGTGTTTGTGGACAGTGTTATGCCAACTGACCTAATGTCCTCAGAGACTACGGTACGAAAGCCCTTCTGCAAGCAATTCATTATCTCAGGATGATGAGTTAAGAACAAGAAGTCTACATATGTTTTCCCCTGTTGGCTCTACTATATAAAGGCCTATACTTACACCATATAGGCATATAAATGTATAACTGCTACCACATTTATACATATGGTCTTGAGGGTAGTCCTTTCACCAGCCCGTATTTTGTTGTTTCCATTAGCCTATATATTGGCTTGCAGATTAATGTCCATACTGCAGAATTATGTTTTACATATATAGCAATATACTTGTGTTTACCATTGTTGACTGAATTTCTTCTGCACCTCTCTATGTCTTTCTTAAGTGATGTCATATTGATCAAGCCTTTATCAATGCCATTCATTTCATTCACCTTAATATAAGCTTATTATTTATCTACCAGCAGCTCTGTGAGAGAAAGATGGACAATCTCCTCCCATGCAACCTATGGCCTCTGAAAATCCAATGGAGGGTCAGCTATAAGTTGGTTCTGATTCGACTACAATGAGTTTGAATGAGTTGTTTTCTGATTTTCTGCTTCTCTCTCCCTCTCTTTGTTGTTTTTTCGGGGGGGGTGGGGTGGGGAATACTGGATGTGTTTATTGTTCTGTGTTCCTTAGACATCTATGCTTCCTGGACAGAGGTGAGTATGCTTTACCTCCCTATGTCATGGTCCCATGGCCTTTCTGATGATGGTTCAGGTTCAAAGTGCTCGGAGAAAGCTTCACAGTTTTAATACTTCCTAGATGCTCATGAGGCAGAGTGACAAAACGCCTCCCCCCTACTGCCAAAAAAATAAAACCCCAAGCCCCTGGCAGCTACGGCCATATGAAAAAATAATACAAACTCTTTTTAAAAAATAGATTACACAGACAGAACCCAGAGAAAAGAGGGATGTGAGGAAGGGCAGGGGCCTCAGGGGGGTGGGAGGAAGGCTTGAAGGGACTGAGATGAACCTGGGGGCTGGGATGCTGGTGGATGTCGGCCTCTCCACTCTACCCAACCCCGTGCCCGGATTCATTCTCCACAGAGATCCCACCCTCCTCAAGTGACCCTTTCCACTTTGAGGCCTGATTCCTGCTTCCCACTAAAGTGATTTCAATAAAGAAAGAAAGAAAAACAAAAAGGTCTAAGTGAAAGAAAGGGCTGCCACCTGACCCCCAAGGACGTCCACCTGCTCTCCCTCCCTTCTTATGATTTCTGGTAACTACCCCAAATCATCAGTTTCTGCATCTTTCTTTGTTGTTGGGTGCTGGACAGTCATCTACAACTCACCACGTTCCTATAAACAATAGATCTGAACCATGCCCTCTCCCGCACTGACTCTGCCCTTTCTTACAGTCACTGTGTCAATCTATCTTCTTGAAAGCTTCCTCTCTTTCTCAGTATAATGTCTTTTTCCAAGGGTTGGCCTCTCTTGACAACATGCATAAAGTATGTGAGGGGAAATTTCACCATCCTTGCCTCTAAGGAGCACCCTAGTTGCAGTTACTCAAGACAGATTTATTTATTCTATTGGCATTCCATGGATATTCTTTAATAATTTAAAGAGTAAGTCCATTTAATATTCTTTTTAATTAAGTCTATTTAATATACTTTTCAACACCACAATTCCAAGGCATGGATTTATTTTTTGGTCTTCCTTATTCACTAACTTGCAGATGCATAGAAAGCAAATAATAGGAAATACTATAGCTTAGAAGAGGCACGTCTTAGTCTTTTAAGCACTCTGAAGAAGTACCTGACAGTAGATTTTTCCAATGCAAGACATCTTTTGATTTCTTGTCTTCTGCTACCATGGGTGTTTAAATTGTTGACCATTTCTACTGTCTATCTAATCATGATATTGCCTATGTTAATTATTTTTTTTTCTTGATGTTGACATGTAAGGCTGTAGTTTTTTATCTTCTGCAGCAAGTGTTTCAATACTCTTCACTTTCAGTATGTCACAATGTCATCTGCATAAGGCAGGGTTTGTTACTGAGTCTTTCTTCAGTCCTGATGCCACATTCTTTAGACTTGATGTCCAGCTTCTTGAAAAAAAGATTTGCTCAGCATATAGACTGAGCATGTATGGAGAAAGACTATGACGATGCTGCACATTTTTCCTGATTTTAAACCACGTAGGGTTTCTTTGTTCTGCTTGGACAACTGTTTCTTGAACTATGTATAGATTTCACATGAGCGTAATTAAAAGTTTTGGGATTCCTATTCTTCTCAATGTTAGCCATAACTTTTATGATCCACCCAGTCAAATGCTTTTGCACGATCAATAAAACACAAAGTAAATGTCTTTCTAGTATCCTGCTTTCAGTCAAAATCCATTTGGTATCAGTAATGATATCCTTCATTACATGGCCTCTTCTGAATTCAGCTCAAATTTCTGGATATTCCCTGTAAACATATTATTCTAGCCATTTAAAAAATATTTTTCAGAAAGATTTTACATGTAGCTGATATTAATGATATTGTTCAATAATTTTCATACTCTTTTAGATCACTTTTTTTGGGAATGGGAATAAACACAGATCTCTTGCAGTCAGTTGGCTAAGTAACTGATATCTGGAAGAGTAGTTTTTGTTCCAACAAACCCATTTCCAGAAGTCCATCCTAAAGAAATATACACATGCACAGAAGTATATACATTCTTATATTTCCTATAAAGTTTTGCTTGTAATAGCTAAAATATTCTAAAAACTTTATGAATATGGAGTTGTATTTCCTCCAAGACAGATTGATCGTTCTTTTGGCAGTCCATGGTATATTAAGTATTCTTCAATAACACCACAACTCAAAGGCATCAATTCTTTTCGGTCTTTCTGATTCACTGTCAAATGTTCACATCTATATGAAGCAACTGGAAATACTGTGGCTTGAGTCAGGTGCACCTAAGTCTTTAAACTGTCATCCTTTCTTTTTAGCTCTTTGGAGAGCAGCAGACTTCCCCTAACAACATGTCCTTTGATTTCTTGACTGCTGCTTTTTATGTATGTTGACTGTGGATCAATCCACATAAAATAAAACTGTTAATAACAGCAATCTTCTCTTTATCTGATGTTGCCTAGTATAGGCTCAGTTGTGAGGATTTCTGTTTTCTTTTGATGATGAGCTATAACCTATTTTAGGGCTTCAAATATTTCCCCAAACCTTGCAAAGATTTGTAGCTTTGGAAATACCATGTAAGGTAACTACGAGTCATACTCAAGGCATAAACTTTTTAAAAAAGGAATACATGGTGTTATCTCACAGTACTTTCAAAGATAAGAAATACAGTATTAAATTTTAAAAGGCTTACCATCTCTACAGCACAATTATAGATGAGTTTCTCTGCAGAAACTCTATTGATTTCATCAATAAATCTTTGTTTGTCAGAGAAGAAATGATTCAGTTTTTCTGTAAGTTTCTTGCACATTGTGATGCAGAATTTATATCGTTCATTCAGATTTCTGACAACTGAAAAAATAGAAATGGAAATGAATTTAGTTTTCCTTCAGAAGTGTACAGTGATGTGCGTTACTTCTCCTGCTGACTTAAGATAAAGGAAAAAACACTTCTGACTTTTCCCTATCAATTAAATGGCTAAATAAATCCAGTATCTTTTCCACCTTGATTAAAGGAGTTCTGGTGACTACTGTAGTTGTGCTGCCAACTCAAAGGCCATCTTGTGGTCCAAAACCACCAGAGCAGCTGAAGGAAAAGGATGGACAATTGCCTCCTGTGTGATTTACAGTCTCAGAAATGTGCTGATAGGTCCACTGTGAGCTGGTTCCATCTCGATAGCAGAGTAAGGGAGAGAGGACAGGGAAAACCTGGGTCCCCTGAAATGATGCTGACATGATCACTCCTACCTTGCTTCACCGCTGTGGATGGGCTTAGCTTCCCAGACTTTATCCGGGCCTTGGCAAGGTGTAGAGAAGCTGCTAGCAACTGTGCTGCCTTCATGTATAATACCAGCTGTTCCACTTGTCTACACCAAGAAGAGGCAGAGTTATCTTGTGAGTAACAATACCTTTCCTAAGGGAGTATCATCTTCCTAGATTTTTTAATATACTAAACTAAACCCTGAAGGGAAATAGCTTGGCACAGAAAAGGAAATGTATTCTCTCAATACAATTAATTGACTAAGATAAAAAGCAAGACTTACTTTATCATAAGGTATCTTCAATAGTATAAAGGGAAAACAGCAAAACTAAGGCTGTATACTTTTCAAGCTCTGGCTCTTACAGTGAAATCTAGTACAATCAAATAATTTCAGTGGGTGACAATTCCCACTCTTAGGCACAAACTTATAGAAAGGTTGAAGAACCTGGAACTGAATAATAAATGAGGCACCTACCCCCAATCTTTGCTCAGCTGGCTGATATGGTCCACAACCACACTCTCTTGAATCTGGTACAAGGAGACAGCAGATATACAGAGTTCTGGGTTTCCTGCTTGCATGGCTGTCAGATCCAGGACACACTCAGTAAACATCAGTGTCATATTCAGATGGCGTAAGGTATCTGTATGTTCTTGCTGCAGCAAAATCAATTTTTCTTAGACATTTTCAGAATAAAAACAATAGGTACATACTTATTGCTGTATATAAAGCATGTTATGTGGTCACTGTCAAGTGCTACTGAGCCAGAAATGACCCTCCAATAGGTTTTCAGAGGCTGTAAATCACATGGGAGGTAACTAATCAATTAGTCATCCTTGTCCCATGGAGGAGCTGGCAGATGAATTGCTTGCCTTTGTACTGGCAACACAACAATTTACCCAGCAGGCCACCAGAGCTCTCTGGTACATAGAGACAATGAAGTGTTATCTAGTCATATAGAGAAATGAAGTTCTGGCATGTTATAACATAGATGAACTTAAAAAACATGCTAAGTGAAATAAGTAAGACCCAAAAGAACAAATATTTTTTTGTATTAAATATGTAGAAAATATACAGAAACAGAAGTTTATTATGATGTGTAGAAGAAAGGTAATCTCAGTTGAGCAAAGCACTACCAACAAAGCCCTCACACTGCAGGAACAGTAGTCAAAACAGTCTGGTACTATTATAGCAACAGTCCCACAGAGCAATGGGAAAGAACTGAGAACTCAGAAGTAAATTCATCCACCTATGGACAGTTAATCTTTGACAAAGAATCAAAATCCAGTAAATAAAGAAGAGATGGTCTCTTTAACAAATGGTGTTGGTAAACTTGGCATACCCATTTACAGAAGAAGGAAACAAGTTCCGTACCTCACAACTGCACAGAAAATCAACTAAGAGGAATCAAAGAACTAAATATAAAATTTAAAACTACAGAATTCATCAAAGAAAAAAATTGAAACAAATGCGAGGTCCTAATTTATGTCATAGATAAACACATAACAAAAAGATACAAACAGCAGAAAATAAATGATGATGAAGACCTAAAACTGAAATTCTTATTATCACATATATGCCATATTACTTACCTGTTTTAACTGTTTAATTCAGTGATGTTTTAGTAAGTTTACTGAGTTGTGCTATTAGCCCCATAATTCATTTTCATATTTCTTTTTAAGGCTAAACCAAATGAAAATGTAATCAGTAACATTATTTCCAGTGCTATTCCACTATAATATTCTAGAATGAATGCGGCAAGAGACAACCATTTAAATCAGTATTTCATACTAAAAAAAGATTTTTTTCTCTCAACTTTTTCTACCCCCCTATTACTTAAAGGATATTAAAAAATTCCACTAAGCAAATTATGTTAGTTCAGATCTGTGACAAACCACACCAGCTTAGGTCAGCAAACATTCTCAGTGGGCTTTAACGGGCTAAGAAACACAGAGGCAACATGAGCACTCAAGGGCACTTTATAAAGTTGAGAGAACCACCAACACAGAGTAACTAATCTTCATAATAACCTTATTATATTCTATGGAATCGAAGCAATTTGATTCTTTGTCCAGTGACCCAAGATGTGGTAAAAAATGTGGTTCAAAGCCAGGAAAGGACACCTCCAACATCCACGTCCAAAATGTTGTTATATATCACCAATTACAACTCACAGGCACCCTATGAAGAAGAGATCTGAACCTTGCCCCATCCTGCACCATCTTCGTAATCTCTGTCATACTCAAGTTCCGCAGTGGTAGTTACTATGTCAAGCCATCTGGTGAGGGTCTTCTTTTCTTTTGCTGGTCCTTACTTTTCCCAGCATGATACCTCTTATCCAAGGACTAGTTACTCCTGAAAATATACCTAAAGTAAGTAAGATGATGTTTCATTTTTGATCTTTGCTTCTAAGGAGCACTCTGGTTGTACTTCCTTCTAGACAGATTTGCTTGTCCTTCTGGTAGTCTATGGATATCAGCACTCTTCGCTAGCACAATTCAAAGGCACTGATTCTACTTCTGTCAGTCTTAGTGACTGTACAACTTTCAGACACACAGGAAGCAAGAGAGAAAACTATGGCTTGGATCAGGTGCACCTTAATTTTTTTTTTCAATAGGCCAAGTTCTTTATTGGTTTCATTTCTTGCATTTGAAATACTCTTTAATGACATCCTTGGCCTGTGATTCTTTGCCATAGTCCTTAACAACTACACAACTGCAGCCGACTACTTTGCGGGGCTTTCCTTTTCAGTCAATTTTGCAGAGGCCTACCCACTCCCCCCAGTTTCTTATTATCATCAACCTTTATCAGGTTGATTTGGTGTTCAGCACAAAGGGCCTCTACTAACTTGACATACATAGGCTCATTACAGTTGGATGCAAGCTCACATAGATGGGCTTGGTGCTTGTCTAAGGCTTTGGCAGCTTTGCGGATTCCACGTGCTAGACCATCGTGGATGAGGGTGGTCTTTAGCACCTCTTGTAAAGCGGTATTAACGTCCATTACACCTCCAGCAGCAATGCCTTCCTCAGCCATGGCGTTGGGTTACAGGTGGAGCGGAATCTTGAACGCACCCAGGCCTCCACCTCCGCACAACTCGGCGGCAGCAGGGGAAAAGCACCTTAACTTTTTAAATAGACATCATTGCTCTTTAGAACTTTGGAGAGGTTCTTAGCAGTAGATTTCCCCAATATAACACATCTTTTGATCTCTTGACTGCTGCTACCCTAAGAGTTGACTATGGATTCAAGTTAAGATTAAATTGTTGACAACTTCAGTCTTTTCTCCATCACTATGTTGCCTATCAGTGGAGAGGATTTTTGTCTTCTTGATGTTGAAGTGTAATCCATATTGAAGCCTGTAGTCGTTGATCTTTTGCAGTAACTGCTCCAAATCTTCTTCACCTTCAGGAAGCAAGGTTGTATTGTCTGCACAATTCAGGTTGTTGATGAGTCTTCCTTCAATCCTAATGTCTCATTCTTCACCATATACTTTAATTTCTCAAATCATCTGCTCAGCATTCAGACTGAATATAGATAAAAGATGCAGTCATGATGCATAACTTTTCTTATTTTAAACCATGGGAGAAATTATGTTTGATGCTGGTAATGTGAGGCTGTTCATATACAATGACGTTCAATCTTAGAAATGCAAAATATAGTTATGGATATTCTGCTTTTTTATAGAGGGGAACAACATAGGAAATCTATAGATTTTATTTTAATAATAAAAAATAAAGTTTTAAATTTTTTTCCAGCAAATTAGTTATTCACTATGCTTAGGTTTTTGTGGCAAAAAAAAAAAGTGATGGATTCTCTCTTGGTTCAGGGTTATTAGGCAAATTGTTTCACTGTATTCTTCTAAGAGGAATTCAGATAGTAACTCCAAAGACCTTGGACTTTGCATTTCCTATAAGAGAACATCCTCATAAGAGATGCCTGAACAACTTAAAAGGATATTCACAGTGCCCAGGGATAGGCGTAGGTAGGTTTCACTGTGTCAAAAGATTCAGAATCCAGCCTCTAAAGGGCCATTTTTAACAATCTGTCTTTTTTTTTTTTTTTTTTTCTACGAGCCAGGCCAGACCAGGCTGGGTTTCGGGCCTGGCAGAGAGCACAGTCTGGCAGGTTTTATTGTCTGGACCAGTTCCTCTCCAGAGAGAGGAAAATGAGGACTCCAAGCCTCTTCTGTTATTCCTGATCCCCTAAATCTGACCCTTAAGATAATCATATGCTTCTTAGGGTGGGTGCTTGAGAATTCACCAGGGTTGAAAGGAGGCCCTAGATGCCAATTATTTTTATTCCAAATTATTATTTTAAAAAACCTATTCAGGGAGCTCTGGTGGCCTAGTGGCAAGAAGCTACACTGCAATCCCAGAGGTACGTGGTTTGAATCCACCAGATGCTCTGCTGGAGGAGAGACAATCTCCTCATGTACCAGTCAGATCCAATTTGACGGCTCAACTACCCTCCAGCAAGTTTTCTGAGTTTCACTCCATATATTTTTTTAAAAACACCTACTTGGTGTTGAGTTGACTCAGCTCCCCTCCAGCAGATTTTATGAGGTTGTAAATTGCCCAGAAGAGATTGCTTATCTTTCCCCAGCACAGCAGCTGGTGAATTCGAACTGGAGAGAAGCACCCCCTTTAGGCTACCCTTGTTAGGCCAGCAGAGCTCATTGAAGGAGTATTTAAAAGAGGAAACCCAGTACTGTCAACGAGGTTCCCCCTGAGCGTGAGTTTCTTCACAGGGCACAGCTGAACTCGCACCACAGGGCTTCCAAGGTATCTTCTCAAGGGAAGCCGGCTACACAGCTTTCTCAGCCACCTCTCAGCAGCCAAGTGCTCAAGCCCTGTGCCACCAAGGCCCTTCCAATTTGCTCTTCCTAAAGCCAGCAGGCCCAGTGCTTAGGGATTTCTAGGTGTCATCTCCTTTCATGCCTCCAGCAATCCACGTACTTGGAGGGTGGGTCTCTGACCACGCTGGCGCTGGTCACCTCGAAAAGCAGCCACTGGGGGACTAGGGTGTTCCGAGACTTCTTCCAGAAATCTTGCAGCTGGCAGGTCAGGAGCTGACTGCCCCGTGGCCCAACCGGCGGGGGGCTTCAGTCTGCATCTTCTCCTGATGCTGCGTCCCCGGGAGCCAGGGGGTCGGGGCCAGCCTCCTCCTCCTCCTCGGCCCTGGTGAAGCTCAGGGTGCCGTCAAGAGTTCCGTAGATTGCCAGAGGTTTCTGGGAATCAACGATCTGTCTTTTATAATTAATTTTAATAACAAAAAGTAAAATCACATTTTTAATTTTCACTTTGATCCAGTCACAAGGGAGACTGGCAAGTATAGTCATCAGCTGGTCTTCACATGACACTTAGGTGCTTAAAATGATTCCATTTTCCTTATTATAACATTGGTGTAAGACCACTGCCTTTACTGCTGTCATTGTATATTTAATGTTAAAAGTTTGTTTGCTGGTTATGCTTTAGGAGCTGACCAGTAGTACCTGAGAGTCAGCCTCTGCATGACACAGAGAGAGCTGTTGATGCTAATGTGATGAAGTCCACAATGAGGATCTTGGATCATATTTTATATGATCCAGTCAGTGACGACTCACTTAGACATGTCTTTGATCTTCATTTTCAGGCGCTAACTGAAGAAAAAGAAAGGAAAAGGAAAGAAATAGTCTAGATATAGCTCTCCATTCTAGTCTCACCACATGCTGAATATTATAAAAGTTAAATCCTTATGTACATGAAAAGACTTTTCCAAGAGCAAAAACATAACCTAGACTTTTTGGGATGCTTGACAATAGCATATCCTACAAATATTTAGACTAATGTCTAAAACTTATAGAAAATTTCAACACATAAATAACAAAATTAACAACAATCTAACTGAAAAATGGGCAGAGGAAATAAACAGACACTTCACCAGAGAAGGCACTCAGGTGATCAACACACACATGAAGAAATTATCAGCCATTATTAAGAAAACTAAACTACAGCCACGTGAGCTGATTCCTGCTCCTGGTAACCTTCTAAGGTTGGAAATTTCGACCGGAAGCCACTGCCCCACATCTTTCTCAGAAAGCTGCTGGCAGGTTCAAACCACCAGTAATGCACAGTTGTTTAGTTATCAGTGTACAAGACACTGTAGATTACAGAGTTACCAGGGCACCTTGAGCGGCCATCTGAGGTACAAAAGAAGATTACCAGATCCAGAGGAAAGAAAAGTCAAGAAAATCCAAGACTTTCAGTGCAAAGGACTAATGCTAAATGGACCATACAAACTTCAGTCTTCCCAACTTTGAGATACGAAGAACCAGATGATGCACAGCTGTGGATCCTGACCACTCTGCAGTTAAGATCAGAAGGGTCCTCATAGAAAAGGAGAAAAAGATGGAACAAAACTCAAAATCATAAAAAGACCAGGGCTTCTGGTTAGAGACTGGTGAAACCCTAAAACTACGGCTCTTGGTTACTCTTAAGTCTACAACTTAAATCACCCTGTGATTCGACTTCTTATCAAACAAAGACAGGCTTATAAAGTGGTCAATAATGCCAGAAAGGAACACATTCCTTAGAACAATCAACATACAAGTTCAAAAGGGGAGCAAGGTCAGAAAGCAAGAAGGGGTAGTAAAGGAAAAGTGGACACAGAAAACTGAAGAAACAGGAAGAACGCTGTTATAACACAAGGGACTGTAATCAGTGTCATACATAACATGTATGACCTTTTGAATACAAAACCAGTTTACTATGTATGCTTTCAAGCAAATCACAGTGAAGGATTTTTGTTTTGTTTTTTAAAAACACTTTATTAGCAGTTATCATGCTGGGAGGAGGCGAGATTGTAGTTATTATTGAAGGGGCACTGAATTTGCGTGACAGACACCTTTAGGAACTAGAAACTAGCGATGGCTGCAAACAGAGACAAAGTAATATTTCACCACAATGAAATTATATACATTTTAAAAAAAAGAATATGAACTGAGGCACTTACTATGAATCAAAATGATGAGCATCATTTTTAATATTATTTTGAAAATAGAGCAGTGATGATAATCTTAAAAAACAAACCAAGAACAAAGAGGGGGAAAAAATCCCTTAAGAGCCATTCTACAGTATTCTGCTTTCATTATCACTACAGTATTCTCACATAATGTCAAAGATGACATAAGCCCAATATAACAGTCTGTATTCTACCTCCATTAGTGTCTCCTCAGGCAATTCAGGAGCTTCAAAGGTGATGAGCCCCTCTAAGCTCGGGGGTGAAGTACCATAAGGTATGTATCTCAGACTGGGAGCTGCATCTGCTTGTGGAGGGGAGGACCCTAAACATCCGCCAGGTGGGGAGCCCAAGCACACACCGCCATGTGCCGCACAGAGGGAGCCTCCAGAACTGCTGGATCCTCCTGCAAGAAAACAGAACACGGGAAAGTTCCCCAAGTTAGTTAACAAAATTAAGGGCTTTTGTATCAACTTCTCCTTTTATTTATTGAATAAAATTACTAATGATGAATTAAAAGTTATAATCTCCTATTTGAGCACATAAAGTTTTTATTTCCATAAATACCTTTCTATTAGTTTGTTTTATCATAGTGGGCCTCTTTTTAAAAAAACTGGTTTTCATACAGCCATTCATATACACCATACTTTATACATTTGCATTGTGTTTTATATAATTCAATACTACTGATCAATGTCTTTGATCACTTCATCTCATCAAATCCCCATTGCATTACCATGGTGGTGGCTATGAGGCTGGATGCTATGCTACCAGTATTTCAACTACTAGGATGTATATCTTTGATGAATAGATTTCAGTAGAACTTTCTAATTAAGACAGACTAGAAAGAAAAGCTTGGTCAGAGATTTAGTTTTTTAAAAAATAAGACCCTTGGCGAAATGGATTTTCACAGATGAACATGCCATAATTGTTTAGGTGACACAAGACCGAGCACCACTTCATTCTCTTGTATGTAAGTTCACCATGAGTAGAGAGCTCACTTGATGACAATGACATCATCATGATCACATGAAGATTTTACAATAATAATAATTACATTGTTGTTTACTTTAAGTCCAAATGGACCCATAGCAGACCCTCCAGTGGGTTTTCAGAGGCAATTAATCGCACTGGAGGGGATTTCTCCCTCAGAGCTGCTGGGCTTGAACTGCATAACTTTGGGATTGCAGCGCAGCTTCTTGCCACTAGGCCACCAGAGCTCCATAATTACATTATACTACTTTAAACAAATAGATGTATCTCCATGTTGCTTGACAGTCTTCATAGTTATAAATCTTTATATATGCTATGGGTTACTTTATATATGTAATTAGCTAGTTCTCAAACTTTAGGTATTTACACTATGTCTAATTGTTCTCATGTTATAAGTAACACAATAATGAAATACACAAAGTTTTTTTCTTTTGAATTATTTTTTTGTGATAAATATTTCAAAGCAATGTAAAAAGGATAGGATCAAATATCATTAACAAACATTTTATAGCTGCTTTCTAAAGTTGCTGAGAGAAAGCAGTTTCCATTATAAATTCAATTGTGGGTGCTATAATTTTTTTAAAACAGTATAAAATGAAATTTTATTAAAAACATGTATTTGTTATTATGATGAATTCTTCTATATGGGTTCTTTTGCCTTAGGTTTCCTTTTCCTTTCTTTTTTTGTTTGTTTGTTTTATTATTAATTTTAATGAACATTTACAGAGACTTTGGATTTCCATTCATTCATTCACTTTTCCCCCTGCCCACCTCTCCCAGCCCCCACAATTCTCTTTGAAAAGTAAAAAAAATTATTTCATTGTTATACAATCCCTCCCCCCAAGTTCACTCCACTATGAGCCTTCATTCTGGATTCCTGTCATGACAATAATACCTAATCATATATTGCTTTTAAACAGTTCTCTCGCTCATCTGTTTCAGTGTAGTATACATTTTCCCCCTCCTACTCAGTCTCCCCTCAACCCTGATGTCAGTCCTGTTTTACAACAGTGGCCCTATGCAATATTTGTCCTTTTGGGACTGAGATATTTCATTCTGTATAATGTCCTCCAGGGTCACCCATTTTGTATAATATTTCATGAGCTCCTTGTTTTTCAATGCAGCATAGTATTCCACATTGTGTGAATACACCAGAGCTTCTCTATCCATTCATTTGTTGATGGGCACTTGGGTTGTTTCCAAGACTTTGCAATTGTGAACAAAGCCACAATAAACACGGGTGTGAATGCCTCTCACTTCTTTTTTTTTTAATTTGAATGAACATTTACAGAGATTTTGGATTTCCATTCATTCATTGTCGCACTGGCTGCTATCATTTTTAAAAGGCTGGCTTGGTATATAGCTTTGGCGGCCCACGTAAGGAATTGAAAGAGAACTGATGCCTTTGAGCTGTGGTGCTGGAGAAGTGTTGAGTATACCATGGACTGCTAGGAGAACAAACAGGTTTGTCCTGGAGAGGGTGAAGCCAGAAGGCTCCTTGGAGTCAAGGATTCTGAAGCTTCATCTGACATACTTTGGGCATGTTACAAGGAGGGACTGGCCCTTGGTGAGGCACATCATGTTTGGGAGAGTAGAGGGACGGCGCAGGAGAGGAAGACCCTCAATGAGATGGATCGATTTTGTAAGTGGAGTGGTGGGAATGAGTGTGTTTGAGATGGCGAGGTTGGCATAGGATAGAACAGTATTTAGGGCTCTTATACATAGGGTCACTATGCGTCACAAGCGACTCAATGGCACATAACAACAACAACAACTGTCACAAAGGTAGGAGGTTCAAATCAACTAGCTGTTCCTTGAGGGAAAGATGTGCAATCTCCTCCTGTGTGATTTACAGTTTTCCAAAATCCACTGGAGGGTCAAATATGAATTCATTCCAACTCAATGGAACATAACAACAACACTGAATAAATTATTAATTTCTTAAAATAGTACTTTATTATTTTTTCATTTAAGAGTAAGATTACTAGCACTACTTCTTCTCTGTTACCTATCCACTGATATCCTCTTGATTAGTAACTTATTCAGAACACCAAAACCAAACTTCCTGTCACTGAGTTGGTTCTGACTCATGATGATCTTCCACTAGGTATCCAAGGATGTAAAGATTTATGGGGAGATACTATCTGTCATTCTTCCACAGAAGGTCTGCAGGATTCAGATCTTGCAATTAGCAGCTCAATACATTAAATGTTATACCACCAAGACTCCTTAAGAAAATCTTAGGAGAACTTAAAAGAAACAAGGTATAATGTGGAATATATATTATATGAATATAGATGATATATTTTATTAAATGACAAAACATCAAACTGAACACATTTTTGGTGTTAACAACCTAACATATAGACAGCACTGTTTCTGTTAGGAACCAGTGTGTTAACTCTACAGGGCAGTCTCCTCCCATGTTATTTACTGCCTCTGAAGATCTGCTGGAGGGTCAGCTATGGGTCAGTCCCTAGTGGACAGCACACAACAAGAAAAACGTGGTAATCTATAGTATGTTGCTGTCAACTATAACTTACAGTAATCCTATGAACAACACCTCTGAACTGCCCTATCCTGAGGCAACTTCACCACCTCTAATACACCTGACTTCACTGTTACAGTCACTATGTCAAGCCATTTCATCGAGGGTCTTTCTGTCTTGTGTTGACATTCTACCTTTCCAAGCATGATGCCAGTCAGGGCCTCAGAGCTGCTCTCACTTCCTTTCCCCACAACAGCCACAGAAACGATCAAAGCAATAGCTGCAATTCTGTTATCTGTTAGGGCTGCAAAACTATTCTACTTCCCTATCCCAGGAATAACTATCTATGACCCAACCTGCTCCATTATCTTGTAAAAACCAGCTGTCTACATTCCCTCTCAATTTCCTTGTAAGACAATATAAAACTCTATTCTAACTTTAAGTAGCTGCTGGACTTTACTTTAGAGTGAGTCAGGCAGTTTCTCCACAATAAACTTTCTTTCTTGGTATGAACTGGGTTCTGTCCTTCCTAGGCAATCTTACAATGCCCTTCTATATACAAGAGAATAAACTAACATCTAGTTCCATACCATCCTGACAAATGACAGCATTTCAAGTTTTCTGCTGCTATCAGCTAAACATGGTTCTTCTTCATGCTGCCAGAAATAGCAATACTGGAGTAAGGACTAGAGTGAAAAAGCAGCTTTATTATATATGCTACCACATAGGAGACAAGGGGTGTTGTTGTTGTTGTTATGTGCCGTCGAGTCGCCTGCGACTCATAGCAACCCTATGAATAACATCCCTAAACTCCGCTCTGTCCTGTGCCAATCGCACCGTCTCTGATACTCCCATCCCAATTATCCCAGTCACTGAATTAATCCACCTCATAGAGGGCCTTCCTCTCCTGTGCTGTCCCTCCACCCTCCCAAGCATGATGTCCCTCTCCAAGGACCAGTCTCTCCTCACAAC